GACTGCTCAGCTCCTGAGATCTGAGTTTTGGTAGCACTCTACTTATCCTGACTTCGGAGTTGGCCTTTACTCTTAAGTTTTCTTAAGCCTAAAGGGAAAGAATGCAGTGGTCTTGATTATTAAGGCATCCTGTGAGGGAGAATGGTGGTAAATGTTTAGGAATCATGACAGGGAGAGGATAAAGGGAGAGAAAAACTTTTAAGAGGTTCATTTTTCCCCGTAGTGATCAGGATTTTGCTATACTTGCTGTCACCGTCCTACACCCCCACACAACTTTTTTCTCTTTTTAATTTGTTGCTTAAGGTTTGGGGTTTGTTTTTGTTTTTGTTTCTAATTGCAGTACTGTAGATTGAACCCAGGAGCATTAGTACCACCCTCATTGAAGGCTCCAAAATAACAGTTTTACTTCCATTTTGACCCTCTTCTAACCCTTTTTCACACTGCAACTGGAGTGAGCTGTTTAAAATATAAATCTGACTGTATTCCTGTTGCTTAAAACTCTTTGTGGCCTTTTGTTCTTAAGATAAAGCAAAATTCTTGAAATGGCCTATAGGACTCTGCAAGCATGATGGCTTTTTATATTTTTTCCAGCCTCTGGGAATTTAACCTAGGACATTGCCTGCCACCAAGCTATGCCCCCACCCCTTTTAAAATTTTTTATTTTGAGGCAGGATTTTGTTAAGTTGCTAAAGCTGACCTTGAATTTGTATTCCTCCTGCCTGAGCCTCCCATGTCGCTGGGATTTTGGGTTTGTGCCACCACACCTTGCTAATTCAGTTATCATTTAATCAGTGTCTGTCTTTCCATAAGAAGAGCGACCTCACTGGTTTTGCTTGCTATTGTATTGCCAGTGCTTAGGATAGATCTCAATTCACACACACACAAACTCACATATTTGTTAAATTACCCAGTGAATCCATGAATGAAAAGGGCAGGTGAACCATCCAGAAAACATGAATACAGATTATAATGTAGAGTCTCACCATTTAATTGTTATAAAACTTTTAAATATTTAGAGTCTTGAGACTATAAAAGGACCCTCAGGTCCCTTCTTTTTATCAATAGGAAACTGAAGCCCAGATTGCTAAAGTGACTTGAAAAAGTCCCCAGACTATTTAACAAAAAAACCAGTACTATTGCTCAGATCCTCTGACCACTAATCCAAACATTCTCTGTGGTTGAGTCATGGCTCTTCATACATTTCCAGAAGGAATACAGAAGCAAAGAATTAGAAAAAACCTTAGGGGCACTGAATTGGCCTTACTGGAAACCATTCTTTACCATATCTAAGGGATAGGGTGCTCATTTTAACAGTTGTCCACATAATGCTTATTTTGTCTTTGATGTGACAATAATTCTAATCCCTTTTACCTCAAGTAACCCTTAAAATATTCAAAGACTCTATTAATGTTTGTTGTTTTCTGGGCTAAATATCTTAGATTAGTTGTTAATAGACACAACCATTTTGACTTAATGTTCATCTAAGGGCCTTCATATTTGTTCATGATTTTTTTTAAGATGAGGAATTCAAAACTAAACTCAATTGAACTGAATTCACAATACCAGATATCATGTGATCAGGAAGATTATAGGAAACTACAGTAGTCTCTACTTTCCACAATTTCACCTACTGTGGTCAACCATGGAACAAAAATATTAAATGGCAGATTTCAGAAATAAACAATTCATAAGTTTTAAATTATGTGCCATTCTGCATAGTATGATGAAGTTTTGAGCTATCCCACTCTGGTTGCCCTGACATGGATCTTACCTTTTTTATCACTTGGTTCCTGTCTAGGTTCTCATACTTGGAGTGCTTGTGTTCGGGTTACCCTTGTTTTACTTAATAATGGCCCCAAAACATAAGAGTGGAGATACTGGTAATTTGTATATGCCAGAGAACAGCTAAAGTGCTCCTTTAAGTGAAACGGTGAAAATTCTCTGCTTAATAAGAAAGAAAATTCTAAGTTGAGGTTGCTAAGATCTGTGGTTAAAAAAAATCTCTTGTGAACTTATGAAGAGAGAAACATACATTTGTGCCAGTTTTGCTGTTACACCTTAAAGTGCAAAAGCTACAGCAACACTATGTGATAAGTGCTTAGATTAGATGAAAAAGATGTTGAATTGTGGGGTTTGGTACTGTCTGTGGTTTCAGGCATCCACTGGGAGTCTTAGAACATATCCAGGGAGAAGACCAGGACTACTGTATTTGTTCTGGCCCTCAAGAGATGCTTTAATATACATATATGGTTTGTTGGCCAGGCCATGGGGTTTGGACAGACTTTGGTTTGCATACTGATTAAGGGCTGTTGTCTAGATTCAATAAAATAATCCAGGTGAGCTCTTAGTAGTCCATTGGCTGGTTCATACAAACCTCAGTGCGTTTTACTTACTATTTTTGTCACTGATGTTGTCAGTCTAAATTGAAAGAATGATTCTCTAAAAAACAATGACATTTATTTGGGAATAGCGGAGCATTACAATGTGAATACACATGCCATAGTCATTGAGACAAAGGAAATGTTTAAAAGCAAAAGTGAGGAAGATTACCTCAGATGTTTTCAAACAATAATCCTTGGCTGCAGTGATTAATAATGGGACTTTTATATATAATTGAGTAGGCTCTTTTAACTGAACCTGGTACACATATTTGACACACATAAATATTTAGAGTCCTGAGGTTTGCTTTTGTTTGTTTTGGAGTTTTTTTATACTAGGGATTGAACCCAGGGGTACTTTACCACTGAGTCACATCCCCAACCCCTTTCGATTTTTATATTGAGACAGGGTCTCACTGAGTTGCTAAGGACCTTGCTAAATTGCTGAGGCTAGCCTTGAATTTGTGATCCTCTTGTCTTAGCCTCCCCAGCTGCTGGGATTATCGTCATGCCCCATTCTGCCATCCACCCTGCTTGCAGCCCTAGGTTTCTGATAGTATGTTTTTATTATTGTTTGTCTTCCTTTTCCTCTTATCAACACAGGTAAACAATAGTAGCATGTTCACAACAGTTCATGTATCTGGAGAGAAATAATAGAATCAGCACCTGGGTGAAATAGCACACTTTAAAATGTTGTTGAAGATTGGAATGTTGCTCAGTGGTAGAGCACTTGCCTAGCATGTGTGGTGTCCTGGGTTCAATCTCTAGCTTTCTAGTCAATCATTATAAATAAGTAAATTATAAAATGAAATCTCAGGGCTGGGGTTGTGACTCAGTGATAGAGTGCTCACCTAGCGTGCTTGAGGCATTGAGTTCAATCTTCAGCACCACATTAATGTAAAATAAAGATGTTGTGCTCACTTAAAACTAAAAAATAAACATTAAAAAATTAAAATTAAATTTCATTAAAACTTCATGTATGTAATAGTACGCATTCATGAAGTTTTAATGAGCATACATGAAGTATGTATGTTCTTTGATATTCTATTATTATTTCAGATATCTGAGTCACAGGGTATGGTCATGCATTGCATGCCTGTAATCCCACCAGTTTAGGAGGCTGAGGCAGGAGGACCTCAAGTTCAGTTCCAGCCTCAGCAACTTAGCAAGACCCTAAACCATTTAGATAGACTCTGCTTCAAAATAAAAAACAAAAGGGACTGAGGATGTAGCTTAGTAATAAAGTGCCCTGGGTTTAATTCCCAGTACCAAAAAAACCAAAACCAAAAAACTTCATGTGTAATGCAATTTAGTTTAAATTTTTTTAATTATGAAAACTGCAATACTATACAACATAAAATAGTTAAAACCTATTATATACCCATCCCTAGATAACAGCTATCAAGATTTTACCATATTAACTTCCTTCTTTAAAAATTTATTTTGAAATATGTTAAAGCAAATCCCAGATATCAAGCATTAAGGGTTTATTAAGATTACAGTATTAATAATAAACAAATATTTTAAGACAAAACTTAAATTTGGACATTTTCAAAATATTCAGAACATTCAAAACATCTCTGGAGTATGATTTGTTTGCCACTACCCACTTGCAGTCCAAGAGAAATTGTGAAAAAGATGTGTGAATGCTTTAAAAAATAATTTCAGCAATGCTCAGATCTTTCATCCTGGATTAGGATTAGGAGGTAGGAATAGCAGGTCATCTATCTCTTGAGTTTTCTTTTTTAAAATCATGTTTTCACTGATTCTCTTATTACTTCAGATATATGAGTCAGAAAAACACTTAGTTTGTGCTTTATAAATATTTCATCATTTACACTTTCTAATATATGCTTCATTTTTTTCTAGTAAAACCCAAATTAAGAAAAATCTTATTTTTCACAAGTGATCTAGAGAATTCCTGACCTAGCCTAGAGATAGAAGTCCTAAAGAAGAAATAACATTGCTTTAAAGTTTGCATTTTAGTTAAGAAAGAGATATTTGTTTTTAAAGCCATTTTTGTATCTACTTTTCCAAATTTGCTTTTTTATTTAGTTCTTTTGGTTTTAACACCTAGGATGTTTGAGCTGGTGTTTTGTTTTGTTCATTTGCTTTTTAAACAGTCTATTTAATTCTGTTCTGTAGAATAGGTAATACTTGTGTTTTTAATGTCCTAAGTTTCAGTTCTACTTATTGTATAAAATTGTAATCCTGGAACTGTGAACTATACCCATAGTGACCTGCCTTCCTTCAACTAGGTTATTGGTATCTGAAGATTCCTCCAAACCAGTTTTAACCTATAAAATGTTATCATCACATAATAGGCATTGCAGTAGACCCTTGCTCTACTTATCCTTCTTCTAAATGGCTGTATTCTTGGTATAACTGTTACTCATATCACTTGGATAATGCACATAGGTAATTTGGGATAAGAAAAGTTATTTTAGAGTGTAGTTTCTTTTCAGGCTGCACCGCCATCCTGGCTGAACTTTAGAGATGCTTAATAAAAGTGAAGAGGGAAGAAAGAGCTTGCCATTTGTCTATGTGAATTCAGGTAGTACAGAATATTTACCAATGCCAGAATTATATTTAATAGATGACTTTTGTTTTGTTTTGTTTTAGAATCACAAGAAGCTGATGAACACCTGGTAGCAGAAGTGGTTAAAAAATGTTCATCTGAGACTGGTCTTAGATCTTCAGCAAATGAAGAGCCACATCTGGCCATTGATTCTCACTCAGTCAAGGATATCAAAGAAGAACCTCAACATGATGTTAGCAAAATTTCAGTAGTGAGACCATTTTCAATCGAAACCAAGAATTCCATAGATATCTCTGCAGCTCTTGGAAAAAAAGCAGCCCATGGCTGTGTAACCTTAGTCTCAGGTGAGGCTTCGCCCTCCTGTGCTCCAGAAGCCACCCAGGACAAGGCAATGACAGATGGCAGCATGGGGGTTACGCTTGATACTTCTGCAGAGGCTGATTTGAAAGCTGAAAGCTCTTGTCCAGAGCCTGTGGCCAGCAGAAGCAAGCTGAGAAAGCCCAAACCTATCTCCCTAAGGAAGAAAATAACTGGGGGAGCGTTCTCAGAAACAGAAACTGTCATGGAAGGCGCACTTCTCACCAAGGCACCATTCAATCCCAATGAATTGGATAAGAGCACACATCCTTCTTTGCTAGGAGATGCTGGAAGCCAGAAATCTCTCCCTGATGTTAACGAAACTTCAGGCACTCTCAATAGTGACACCAATGACTCCAAGGTTGAGTTGCAGGAAGAGTCGAGGAGTCCATCTCTCAAACTTGAATTTGATTTCACAGAAGACATGGAGAATGTAGAGGCCAGGAAAGGCCTTCCAAGGAAACTTGGCAGGAAACCGGGTAACAGACTGACTCCCAAGATACCAAAAGATGGCCTCAGTGAGCCAGTAGGTGTAGAGCAGCCTGCAGACCCAGCAGCCAGAGACGCCCCTCTCTCCCAAGTGTCTTCTAAGCTAGACCTTAGTCAGTGGGATCACCCCAGTTTTAATCCCTTTGGGAGCCACTCCATTCTACAGAACTCCCCACCCCTCTCCTCTAAGGGCTCCTACCACTTTGACCCAGATAACTTTGATGAATCCACGGATCCCTTTAAACCAACTACGACTTTAACAAACAGCGACTTTTGTTCCACCACTGATAATCATGTTAATGACATCTTAGAGTCACCCAAGAAGGCAAAGTCGCGTTTAATAACGTGAGTGACAGTGGGTGCTGGGTGTTGTGTTTTGTGTATCTCTTGAGTTTGGCAGCCAGCTGCTTTTGGTGAACCATTTATCTTTGAGATGCAGCGGGGGAGACACAAAGCTTATAACTTTATGCTGCAATCTTTACTATATTGCATAACTCCTGTGTAGAATCAGAAACTCTATAGAGATTTCCTTTGTAGATTTCTACCTTATTTCCAAATCCTCAGCTTATTTGGCTAAACTTTCTCTCCCCTCTCCCTATATATTTTTTATGATTAAATCAGATAAAAATTTGATGGTTTTCAGAAATCCTTGCTGGGAAGAATTCCAAGCCTACAAATACCTGTCTAGGTCAATTACTTGCAAAATGGTTCTTGTGGAATCTTTTTACTTAAACAGAAAGTAGAAACTTATTTTTGTTTTTTGGAAAACTACCATAAAATGTTGGTGAAAATTCTTGTCTCTATATATAGTTTCTGGTTCATTAGCAAAAAAGGCAAATTTCTGATAAGAATTTTTTTTTTGAGAGCAAAGTAACAGGATTTATTAGAGTAATAGGAAGAAAGCAGAGTTCCCAAAGAGGGAAGGTTCCCAAGAGAGGGATACCGAAAAGTGGCTACTATCTAGGGGTTCATATAGATCTACAGGTTTAAGGAAGTCAGCCCCTGCCAATCCTGGGTAAGGCACTCAGGGTCCACGAGATATTCATGCAGACTTCGGTCCAATCAAAATATCAACCAGAGGCTGGGGATGTGGCTCAAGTGGTAGCGTGCTCGCCTGGCATGCGCAGGGCGCTGGGTTTGATCCTCAGCACCACATAAAAATAAAATAAAGATGTTGTGTCCACCGAAAACTAAAAAATAAATATTTTTTAAAAATATCAACCAGGCATTTTTCTTTCTTTGGAGAGGCAGAGACCCCAGTCATGTAGGTCCTGATTTGAAAATAGCCTTTTTGTAAGTTTCTTAGCAAATATCTGTAGGTGCTGTTTGCTTTACTGCCCAGGAAGTTATCCAGGGGGCCCTGATAAGAATATTTTAAATGATCAGTTAAATCTGAGTAAATTAGTCTTTTGTCATGTGCTCCTCCCACCCTCCTCATTTCTCCGAGGATACCTGGATGGACTTTTGCATGTCTTTGGAGTCTCTGGAGTGATTCCTCTAGTGATATTCCATGTCAAGCTTCAGTTTAACTTTGTTATACGATTACCTTATCTCACTAGTTAAATTGAATAAGTGACAGTTATAATCCTTTGTAACCCTGTGGCATTTTACTAAAAGTTAGACATAAAGAAGGACTAACAAAATGGAGGATGAAATGTGAAAAGGGAGTATGAGAAGTATACCATATTTGTAGTTTTCATGAGATAAGTTGCAGAAATGCTTGTCAGCATTACTATGACTTATAAGAAAAACACCAGGTGGTGAGTTACACTGGAAAGGAAAATATATCCAGAGGTTTAAAGAGAGCAGGTATCGGGCTAGGTTGTGGCTCAGCGGTAGAACACTCACCTAGCACATGTAAGGCCCTGGGTTTGATCCTTAGCGCCACATAAAAATAAATAAATAAAATAAAGATATTGTGTCCAATTACAACTAAAAAATAAATATTAAAGAGAGAGAGAGAGAGAGCAGGTATCCATTTCGAGATCGAAGAGGTTGAGGAAGGTAGACGTTAGTTCTTCCGCAGCCCTCTAGCATATCTAAGAGGAATGAAATACCATTAGTAGCTCTGGATTTGTTCTGTGATTACATATGAACAGTTAAATGATTATTGAAAAATATTATTGATGGGTATCTACACAGTTTACTTTTGTGGCTTTTAAGGTTAGGTACCTCTGTGTAGATCACACTTGGGGCATGTATTGGGCATGTTGCCACCTTGATACTTCCTACTCTAAATATGAGAAGCTTCTGCGTAAGAAGTTACTTGGGAGCCTTCTTTTCAGTTACATACTGAAGTATGTATATAGCCAGTGCACTCATGTTAATGGGACTAAATCTGGGCCAAAGAGGGGAAATTTTATTATATGCTTTATGTTCAGTACCAGGAACCACCCTCCCTTGAGTTCTACTATCTTCCCTTGGTAGCCTTTTCTTCCTATTCTGTTTTCATTAAATGAACTTCTCAATCTAATATACATTTTATATATGTTTTTAAAATTCTTGTACAATCAAAACTCCCATTTTCTTTCTTCAACAAAGCAGTGCTAGCCAGCTTTTCTAATGCTAGGATTTTGGTTAGCAGGGCCCTTCATTTGTAGGAAAGACTGGAAATATAACATTTAGTGGTAGCATCTAGTGGATAGTTTTGCATGGCATTCAAAAAGACAGGTACAAGAGCTGGGCATGGTGGTGTACTCCTGCAATCCCAGCAACTCAGCAGGCTGAGGTAGGACAATCATGAGTTCAGAGCCAGCCTCAGCAATTTATCAAGGTCCTAAGCAGCTTAGTGAGACATAGTCTCAAAATAAAACATAAAAAAAAAAAAAGGTCTGGGGATGTGGCTCTGTGGTTAAGTGCCCTGGGTTCAATGCTTGTACTCGCCCCCCCCTCCAAAAAAAAAGATGCATAAGATTGGCTTCTGGATTCCTCTATAAAATGGAGACACCAGAATATGAGCGGAATTTTGCTGACCAAATAAGATAAATTATGTGAAATAATTTTCAGCTTCTTAGTGATAGATACCTATTGTAGAGATATCTGGATATCTTTTCAACTGTATTTTTGTTTGCCTTTGATCTGGATAACTTGACAGTTTAGAATAAACATGCTCAGTAGTGAAATATCGTTTTTAAACATTTACACATATTTGGAAAGTTTACTTCTCATCTATAAATTGAGTATGTGGCATTTCTCAGTATACCATTCTCTAAGTCCATTAGACATGAGGTGCTATTGATCATTCACTCACTAGTGCCAACATTCATGAAGATGTCATTTTTAATTTGTATCTCACCTCATAGAAAGTACTATGCAACTTTTACATTTACCAGAATAAGATAAATATTCTAGTCTTCACATGATTTTTTTCTACATCTGTCTGTCTCTTTCCTGTCTCTAATTTTGTTGGTGCATCAGGACTACTGAGCAAGTGAAATTTCTCTGTTTTCTGTTGTAAGTACTTTTGCTGTTGTTTCTGTTTGTCCCTGGGACTGTTGGCAGTTTCCTCTCCCACTCCTGCTCCAACTATCTTTCCATAGCATGTTGGCTTCTATTTTTGAGTTTGATCTTTTGATTATTATTATTTTGCATTTCATTTGCCACTTCATAAGTCAGCTTAGCATTGCAATTGTATGTACCTAAAGGAGTAGAGATGCCCTACCCACCTTAGGTGCGAGAGCTTACGCCCCCGGCTTGGCACACGTCATGTGGCGCTTTAAATACCAAGAGCTGGCTTGGCCTTAGGATCATCACAGCAGTGGTTTGAGAGACTGCTCTGCTATTTAATGTTGTAAATAATTGGATTTTTTTTGATAGGATAAGGCTGCTGACTTGGAGCAGGTAATTATTTTACTGATAAATTTTATTGAGTCAACTCAAGTTTGGTGGCAGTGGGGTAGCACTTAGACATTAGGGAAAGAAGACCATGAACAAAGTGGTTGTGCACATTGTATTACTTTATGTGCTTGTTTTAAAATTTTTTTCCCACCAAAGAAAAGCAAGTTATAAATAATTCTTTTATTGGTCAGCGTGGTATTTTTACTAATATTTTTCAGTTCATTAAAACAGAGCAGAATCTGAATTAGTCCTGTGATCACAAATTATATGCTAGTCTAAAAATAACAGGTGGTCCCAAGTTTTCCACTGTTCTGGACTTTGTGTAGTACATGGTGTTCATCTTTTATCTTACTCCTTAATAAGAATGATAACAATTAATTAAAATACTTTCATACCTGTTTACCACAGTTCTTTTCTGTAAGCACCTAGGTCTAGACTGGAGCTGTCTTACGAGGCTTCTGTTGGCTTTTAGTGCAATAAAGAATTTTCAAAGAATCTCGTCCAGCGTGATGATTTTTCTGGTAAGCGTCAATGCCTAGTGAGTAAAGACAAGAAGAACCAAATGTCTAGCTGCAAGGCTATCTCATCTAAAAGGATTTTGGTGGTGTACAATTAAAGATGGTAGGGGTCAGAGTACTGATGTTTGACAACACACAGAAACAAGAGAAGTGGTCTTTTCAGAGAAGGAACCCAGCTGTCTTTCTTTCCTCACCCTGTCTCTTTGGAGAAGATTCAGAGGCAGCAAAGCTGTCTCTACATCTCTACCGTTCAGGTGTATGATTTGTGTGGTGCTGTATGCTTTGCTTTTCTCTGCACACACTGCGCTTTGCTCCATCTCATACCTTGAAAGTTGGCATTGTGATTCCAAACTGTCCTGTTGGTCTTTTTTCTCTTTCCAGGAGTGGCTGTAAGGTGAAGAAATACGAAACTCAGTCTCTTGCTTTGGATACTTGTTCTCAGGTAAGACTGTGCCTGTCACCAGAATGTTAGACCTATAGTCCCTTGACTAGAGTTTGCATCCTCTGGAGGAAGTTCATAGACATTTTCTAGTGGGTGTCTGAGTACTCATCTTTAAGAAAACTAATTTTTAGATCCTTAATGTCCTAAAATCATCTGGGAAGTTCCCTGAAGACAAGGGAATTCTCACAATGACCCTTTTTTATTTTTACCTTTTAGAAAAAATTCCCACTCTAAATCTTAGATGTTCACCACAGAGTGTGAAAAACTTCCAGGGCACCAAAGGGAAGATTTGAAATATTGGTGTAGGTTCTCAGACAGTAATTGGCTTTACTAACTGAATAATAATTTGTTTAAGTCAGGTGGTTTTCCAGTTTATTGCTTTCAACAAAATAGGATCTGAGTTGTCAGCTGATAGATAAGTATTGATGATAGAATCTTTTGGCACATAACTTGGGAGAGGATTCAGAGATTTGAAAGACATTTATATTACAAAACTTTTCTCTAGCTTTATGTTTCTATGTATGTAAATAAGGTTGATCATTGATTTATTAATTTAGAAACCAGGAACAAAATTGGTGCTGACACTTATTTCATTCTAGCAATAAATAATATCCATTGTGACTATATGAAGTAATTGGAAGCAAAAAAAATCAGGTTTATCTGATTGCAATGAGATGCTTTTTTAAACTTTATTTCAGCATAACTATAGTTACAGAAATATATTCATATTTAATAGATCAATTTAAGTTTAACTCATCCTATATGATTTGGACCAGAAATTTGATGTGTAGCTTAAAAAATTAAGAAAGAGGTGGAGGGATTACAATATGAGTTATTTTGTTCTTCATCTATTACAAATGTATGAAAGTCCCTCCTTCAAATTTTACCAAAGCAGGCAGCAAGAACAATGAAGAAAAAATTTAAAATGAGGAGACTTATGGTCAAAGGAAAAATTTTTTAAATTTTACAAGGAACCTTTAAAAGACTTTCAGTCATATAAGTATATTTCACTGGGTTATTTTTTGATGGAAGTGGAGTGGAATACAAATTCAGAAAGAAGAAAGAATAATATAAATTTCTGACCACTGAAAAACTTGTTTGGGTAGCTTTAAAATGGGTCACCAGATATAAAATCAGAGTTGTTTTTTTTTTTTTTTTTTGTTTTTGTTTTTTTAGTATTTTTTTTTTTAGTTGTAGAGTAAATTGCATTAGACAAGATCAGTAGTTAGGGGCTGGAGATGTGGCTCAAGCGGTAGCACGCTCGCCTGGCTTGCGTGTGGCCAGGTTCGATCCTCAGCACCACATACAAAACAAAGATGTTGTGTCTGCCGAAAAAACTAAAAAATAAATAAAATTCATTCTCTCTCTCTCTCTCTCTCTCTCTCTCTCTTAAAAAAAAAGATCAGTAGTTAGACTATACCATATATTGCATCCACTGCAGTTATTTAAAGACAATTATCTTAAAGATATTTGTTATTAATTATTTAAAGATACTTTTTTGTGCTGAAAACTGTTTAGGTGAGACTTAAAAACACAATGGGGTGCATGGGTTTTTTAAAAATTAGGAGGTATCTGAGCAAGAAATTTTGTGAAAACCACTGCTTTAAATCTCTTAAACTGTTTGCCTATAAATTTAGGCTAGAAAAATCTCGATTTTTCAAACCTTGGACTCAAATTACAAAAGCTAGGTTCTAGAAAACACAGCATTTCACAGTTGAAAGACTCCAGCAGTCTCCTGGCTCTGAAATTAACTCCATTGTATTGGGGCCACTTGCTCCATTCCTGAGGTGTCACTTTTCCCCATTTTTGCCACATTTTTTTTTAAGAATATATGCATATATACTAAAAAAATGGATGCAGTACCTTTATTTTGTTTGTTTTTATGTAGTACTTGGGATCAAACCCAGTGCCCACACGTGCTAGGCAAGCACTCTACCAAAGAGCCTCAACATTTTGCCTTTTTAATAGATAATGTCTTTGTTGCTTTTCCCAGGATGAAGGAGCAGTGATCTCCCAGATTTCAGACATTTCCAATAGGGATGGCCATGCTACTGATGAGGAGAAACTGGCATCCACATCATGTGGTCAGAAATCAGCTGGGGCCGAGGTGAAAGGTGAGCCAGAGGAAGACGTGGAGTACTTTGAATGTTCCAATGTTCCTGTGTCTACCATAAATCATGCGTTTTCATCCTCAGAAGCAGGTATGGAAGCATATCTTCATCTTTGTTATGTACGTAAGCATAGAAATGCCTGAAAGTCTAAAAGTAAGAGATGCCTTAGATAAGAGAATTGGGTCACTTGATGGATAGATTTAGAATGCTTATCTACACTTTGCTTTATCTAGAAAAGAGATACAGGAAAGTGCTTATTGAAGTACTAGGGACTTATGGACGAGTGTGGCAGTATGTTCAAGAGAAATTATTGCTTGAATTTTCTTATGACTTTGTATTAATGTTGGCCATATCTGAAAGTATGATGGCCTATAAATATGTTGTAATTCTTTGTAATTACTGTGTTCTTTGTTTAACTTCCAGAAATAATAACAATTAGCATGTATAGTGCCTTTCCATGTGCAGGTGTTATTTTAAGTGCTTTACTTGTATTAACTCCTTACTGCTCACTACCTGCTGCTCTTTTTGCTATTCTTCAGAGAAACAAAGTGAGGCACAGAAGCTAAGTAGCTTGACCAAGGTCACTTGGCTAGTATAGGAGGGAAAGGGATGTTTTTTCCTTTCCCATTGCAAGGTTCATGGCTGAGACCTGTACAACAAAAGACAGACTAATGAGAAAAACATACAGATTTATTTAACACAAGTTTTACAAGGTACATAGCCTTTCAAAATGAAGACCTAAAGATACAGGGAAGATTGTTTTTACGGATAGTTATAGGAAGTACAATTAGAGGAAAGAAGAGTAGATCTGGAGGGAACTTATAACAAGGGCTATTTGTTGAGATTCTTCTCATTGTCTCTGTCTTCAAGGATGAGAATGTTCTTTTTCTCTGAATATTAGGAGTACCTCTCTGGAATAAGGGTCTTATAATCTGTTATCAGGGGAAGATGAGAGAATTCTTTTACGTCTTGCATCGGGGAGAAGGACAGACCTTTCTGCTTCCTCAAATGATGAGGTACCATATTTGAGGGCAGTGTGCTCTGAACACTGTCAATAACAAATGGTAGAAACAATTGGAACATAAGCAGTCTGTTTCTATGGCCTTTTAGCTGTAGTGCTAAAGTGTGGAATGATTATTTTCATTATGCAAGGCTATTATAAGTTTGTCCTGAATGTGATACATTAAAATTGACAAGTACCTTATAAAATTCTTCTTAGTTTTCTAATGAAGAACCTGAATTAACTTTATTTATTTATTTTTTAAGTATTTATTTATTTGTTAGTTATTGGCGGACACAACATCTTTGTTTGTATGTGGTGCTAGAGGATCGAACCTGGGCCGCACGCATGCCAGGCGAGCGCACTACCGCTTGAGCCACATCCCCAGCCCCTGAATTAACTTTACCTGAAGCCTTTTCCTATGGGACTCTTCATGTCACTTTAGAATGAAGACCCTAAAATGGCTCCACATAACATCTGTGGAACTTAACTTATGAAAGATTTGGAAACATGTTCTGTGTTATATTATGAAAGATTTGGAAATGTGTACCTGATTACTCTCAACATTATTAAAAACTTAGATCTTCTTAAGCAACACAATTCTTACCCACACAATAGTGTAGGCTTTTTCTTAAGAGTTTAGAAAGTCATTCTCTGCCATTCTGCATCAAAGAAAACAGATGGAAAATCAGGACTTTGAGCAAGTTATTCTCCTCAGCCACCTCCTAGCCCCTCAGGCCTCAGTTTCTCATTTACTGTTACTATGACAGTTAACTAAGATAATCAACTTATTAAGAGAAAAGGTTTATTTTGGTTCCAGGGCATGATCAGGTGGCCCTTGGCTTTTAGGCCTGTGGTTGGGGTTGCCCAATGCCAGTAGTGGGGAGCATGTGATGGATTGTAACCATTCATCTCACGGTCAAGAAGCAAAAAAGAAGTAAGGAAGAGGGTGGAGTCCCACAGTGTCCTTCAAGGGCACCCCACACCCATGCCCAGTGACCTGAGGACTTCCCAGTAGGCCCTACCTCTTAAAGATTTTGCTATCTCGGGGTTGGGGATTTAGCTCAATGGCAGAATGCTTGCCTAGCACGAACATGGCCCCGGGTTCGGTCCTTAGCCCTGAAAAAACAGAAAGATTTTGCTATCTCTTAACAGTACCATCCTAGGGACCAAGCCTTTGGTGGACATTTAAGATCCTAGCTATTGCACCATGCGTAACATTTCTGGTGTCTTTCTCTAAGGCCTTGTTCACCATTACCCCTTTTACCCCACTTTCTCAATGTTAATTCTTAGTACTCATACCTGCACTTGTTTCTTGTCCATATCTGAAGTATCTTTCTTTGACATTTTTTTTTTCCAGGTCTCTCTGCATGTTCCTTAAGTCCCAAGGAACCTCTGCTCCCACCATGTTTTTTCTTGCCCTTCCAGTTCTACAGTACCAGTGCCATGCACTCATTGTAGGAGGGTGGCTTTTGTATCTATCTTATTTGTCTCCAAGTTAGGGATTATTAGAGATGCGTCTTTGAATTTCCTCTGACACAGTACATGGTAAAATATTCGTTGAAATATGTTCTTCCCTACTGGAGGAAATTCCTTGAAGAGGAATTTCTATTAGATAACAGCACTATTCTCAAAGTTGGTAAATAGGCTAGTTGGCTTTGGAAAAGCACAAAAGATTTAAACAAGCTGTTACACTATAACTTGTTAGCTGTATCAAAGGAACACGCCAAGGCTGTAGTCTCTGGGGACATAGGGGTGCCACAGGCTCTGGTACTGGAATCAGAGACTATTGGCTAGAGAGTCACCTTAGAGATGCTTCTTAATGGATACATACATGGGTGTTCCTCTAGAACCAAGAAACTCTCACTGATGGGAGGTAATCTGCTGTGTTGATATAGCCCCACTAGCTTTCTGTGAGTATAGGGCAAATGGGAAAAGGAGGTTGTAGTAAGGAATTTGGGCTTGCACTCACAGGTGTGGGCAGGCTAGGAAGGGATTTTTTTGTTTGTTTGTTTTTAGCCGGACAGTGATGTTCATATTTGTTTTAAATAATTAACTATTGACCAAAATAGTATTTAATTATTGCTATATAGATGATTGTAGCTTTAAATTTTGGTATGCTTTTCTGTATCATTAGATTTTCTTCTAAGGGCATATTCTGTTTTTTGTTTTTGTTTTTGTTTGTCTAATTTAGTACAATATCACCTCTGGTGGTGGAGGGAAAAATAGACCTCACACAAGGTAACTGTTTACAGGGTATAGAGAAGATAATAAATTTAGTTTTGCAGGCTCAAAATTTAAAGCTTAGTATTGTATATGCTGTATTAATTAGATTGAGAGTGAGTTCTTCTGGGCTGGAATTTAAATTTAGACTTGGTAATAAAATAACATTCATTGTTAATAGTTTCCTCTTCCTGAAATAATACCACTGTTAGTACAACTCATTTGCTGAACTTTTCAATGGACACAAGGGGGCAGCCTTGATGTTCTTTCTGTTCAACCATTGATATTCTGTTTATGGCTGAGTGTATATTCCTCTTCTGAATGTTATGGACTTCAACACTAAACAGATCAACAGAACTCAACAGAATGCAAGTGCTCATTTTAAAATTTCAAAACATTGTTGGTATGTTTGTAGTGACTTTGGACCTGTACTGAAGTTCCCAAGATTCTCTCACCAAGAAAGAAGGAAATTCTTGGAATAACTATAAAAATGACTTTCTGTTTTAGGTGTAGAGAAAGAATCGTGTCAGAAGATGGAAAAAGACGGATCTACTGTACTTGTAAGTTTTCAAATTCGGAGGAACAAGGTGGAACTCTGGTTTTCTTCAGTATTTGATTTGAAGCCCATATTATAAATTTGTTAAAGTCTAGTCATTGTTAGGTGATGATGATGAAATTGTGTATGTGTGTGTGTGTGTATATCTTTTTTTAAAAAAATTTTTTTTAGTTGGACACAATACCTTTATTTCACTTAATGATTTTTATGTGGTGCTGAGGATCGAGCCCTGGGTCTGGCAAATGCAAAGAGAGCGCTCTACCACTGAGCCACAAACCCATCCTTGTGTGTGTGTATTTCATATGTACATATGACACATTTTCTTCACTGGAGGAACTCATAGTTTATGCATAATGTTCTATACAGTAGACAGTAGCCACATGTGACTGACTGTTGAGCGCTTGAGTTGTAGCTAGTCTGAATTGAAATGCCCTGTATGTGTGAAATACAAACAGTATTTAAGACTTATTACCCCCCGCAAAAGGAATTATTAAATGCCACAGTAACTTTTTATATTGACTACCTGGTGAGATGATGATATTTTTGATCTATAGAGTTAATTAAACTATATTATTAAAATTAGTTCTACGTGTTTCTTTTTATTTTTTATTGTAGCTGCTAGAAAATTAATAGGTACATATGACTGCCAGTATATTTCTGTTGAAGTGTACTGATATAAGACACAAAATGCAAACTAAAAATACCCTGTGGAAAATGTTTTAACAGAATGTGTTCCAGGGCTGTTTGACTACATGGCAGGTGTTGAGGTTGGATGTGAGCTAATAAAAAGCAAAAAAAGTATTTTTATTACAGAGGATTGAACCCAGGGGCCCTCTAGTACTGACTACATCCCTAGGAGTTCTCCCTCCCTCCCTCTCTCTCTCTCTCTCTCTCTCTCTCTCTCTCTCTCTCTCTCTCTTTTGAGACAAGGAGTTGGTCCAATAAAATAAATAAATAATTTTTTAAAAAGGAAAGAGGAGGACCTAGGAATGGTGTAACACTAGAATGATCCTCAGTTGACAAAGGTGCATCATTGAGATTGTTTCCCTGCCTGTGAACATCAAGAACCAAAAATACAGAATGCTTCATGATTTTGCATGCCATGATGCACATGTGCCATACATATCTTCTCCATATTGTTTCAGTTTCAATATATGTGCTGCTGAAGTGAGTATTTTTTTCTTTTTCTTTTATTTTTATTTTTTTTATTTGAGATACTTCTGATTTTTATTTTTTTAATTTTTATTTTTTTAATTTTATTTTTTTAAATTATTAGTTGTTCAAAACATTACAAAGCTCTTGACATATCACATTTGATACATTTGATTCAAGCAGATTATGAACTCCCATTTTTACCCCGTATACATATTGCAGAATCACATCAGTTACACATCCACTTTTTTACATACTGCCATACTAGTGTCTGTTGTATTCTGCTACCTTTCCTATCCTCTACTATCCCTCCTCCCCTCCCCTCCCTGGATTTCAGTAAGTTGCCCAGGCTGACCTCAAACTTGCTGTCCTCCAGTCTCAACCTCCTGAATAGCTGGGATGCCACCACACCCAGCCACAAAAATCTTTTTTTATCTCTTTATTTTCAGTTTTAGATATACAGGAATTCCTTGTTCTATTTTTATATATCTTACCCCTACTATTCAAATTATTAACATTTTACGTACAATATAGTTATTTAAATCACTAATACACTTATACTGATACAGTACTATTAGTTAATATTTAAACTTGTTCAGATTTTTTCAATTGTCCTACTAATATCCTTATTCTAGTGCAGGCTTCAACACAGGATCCCACAGTGCACTTAGCTCTGTGAGCACTCTACCACCGAGAGGTAGAGAAAAAATGGTCACATGGATAACTTAAAGCCATTTGCCTTGTACTCACAGAAAGCTAATGGGGCTATTATCAACATAGCAGATTGTGCTTTGTGAGCACAATCCCCTAAGTCTCCTTTCATCTGTAACTGTTTCTCAGTTTTTGCCTCTAATGACCTTGACAGTTTTGAAGAGTTCTGTTCTGTTAAGTGCATAGTACATCTTTCAGTTTGGGTTTTTCTGATGCTTTTTGATGATTAAATTCATTTTATTTGTTTTTGGCACAGATACAGCAGAATTAATGATGTAGATGGCAATGTGTCCCCTTTTGGTAGGGTTAATTTGATCACTTGATTAAGGTAATGTTGCCCAGGTTTCACCATTTGAATACGTCCTAAAGAAAGTATATTCCAGGGGCTGGGTTGTGGCTCAGTGGCAGAGAGCTTACCTCGCACATGTGAGGCACTGGGTTCGATCCTCAGCACTACATAAAATGAATAAATAAAATAAAGTTAGTGTGTTCATTTACAACTAAATTTTAAAAAAGTATATTCCAGGTAGGAGTATTGGCCTGTGTAAAATCAGGKAGTAGGAAAAAGTATGAATTTTATAAGGAATTATGAATATTAATAATCTCATGTCACTGGAGGATACTTTGTATATGGAAAGTAAGAGACAGGTAATCAAGGGATACAGATACACTGCCAGGAGGTTTGAATTTTGATAAAATCGGTAGGTAGCTCTTGTGAGGTTTGAAGTAAGAAATAGTGTGATTGGTTATAGTTCAGAGAATGAGATAGAGGCTGGGAGAGGGTTTAGCAGGTAGAACTGTCACTGCTTGGTGATATGACATTCGTGATGGCGGTAATGAAAGAAAGTTGATGATGACCACTCGGTTTCTGCCCTGAGAATCCAGGTGGTCGCTGTTAACCAAGCCCAAAGGGGCCTCATAACACATGCCACCACTCTCCACCTAGTGGTGTAAGTCACAAGTCAGGGTGTCATTTTTGACTCCTCCCTCCCCCTTGCTCTCCTAGTCAAGATATGTGGCTTCTGTGTCCAAAACTTATTGTAAATTCATCTACTCTTTTTCAGCTCATGGCTACTACTGGTCCCATTTTAATGGTGGTGGCCGTTTTTTAACTCGTCTTCCTGTTTCCAGGCTTAGTCTCTCATCCTTTGGCATAAATCAGCATAATGTGATTCAAACACAAAATTAGTCTCTTTATTCCTTTTTTAAAGCTCTTCATGGGCTTCCCGTATCTTAAGGATATGTTCAGACTCTTATTGTGGTCTGTGTGATTCTCCACATTTGACACTTGCCTACCTGAATGGAATTTTTTTTTTTTTTTAAGTTCTATGACCTACCTCTTTGACCCATTTCCCTATTCTCCCTGCTTCCCTATAAGATTATAAGCATGGTACAGGTAGGGACTATGACTGTATTATTGGCTGGTACACCCCAGGACCCACCACTATAAATATTTCTGGATGTAGGAATAAGTAAAAGAGAAGAAAGATCAGAATTGTAGAGTTTATTTTTAGATATATGGCTTTAAGTTACCCATGTGACCATTTTCTCAGTCCATATGTCCTTTTGGTGGTTATGGGTGTGTAACATGAGCTCAAGAAACAGGTGATAATTGAAGCTGTGGAAGCAAATAAAGTTGAGATTGAAACACTTTACTTTGATCCACAGTAAAAAATACCTTTCAATTCTCGACCCGTACATATCTGGCACATCATAGCTCATACATTTGTATATTTATAAAACAAATTACACAATTATATGCCTTTCTTCATGTAATTTACTTTGATGTTTCCTATTATCTTTCTTTTTTTTAATGCAGATTTTTGGTGCCACTAAATTGTTTTCATGATTCACTACTGTGCTATGACCCCTGGTATTTCCCTATATAATAGAGAATGAACTTCTTAACCTCAGGAATGGGCAGAGGAGGAGCCGATAGAAGCATGGACAGGAAGTCAGAAGGAAGAACTTACATATCACATGTGGGAAATCAGAAAGCATTGTTTCCTCACTAAGGCTTCACACCTTAGTAACATTTGTTTCCAGACAAAAATCACTTTTGCCCAGAAACTTATGTGATCCTCAGTTTTCTGGAGAATGAGGTCATCTGATCCCAGTACAGCCACTCAAGGACTGAAGCTTCAGTTTGCTCATCTGTGAAAGAGAAACTCCATACCCTACTACCAAAGCAACCTGGTTGTACAGCCCAGAAATCTGGTCCCTTTTGAAGTTTTCCAAGTACAATAGGCATACCTTCTAGTATTTTCAGTGTGTAAAAATAGCGAAAGGATGGGGCCGGGGTTGTGGCTCAGTGGTAGAGCACTTGCCTAGCATGAGTGAGGCACTGGGTTCAATCCCTGGCACCACATAAAGATAAACAGATAAATGTGTTGTGTCCATCTACAATTTAAAAWTTTTTTTTAAATAGCAAAAGGATGATTGAAGAGGGGTGTGTTGAGTGGACAAAGCATTGGTTTGCAGATTTATGCAGCTCTTGAAACTGTTTAAACTTCATGATTCCCAACTTATTCCTCTAACACTTGTCTCTAGAGCCTGCTGGTGAAAGACATAGATGATATATATATCTGCTGTGACCTCCTAAAAATAACTGCACTTGAACTTGCTGACATAAATAAATTTCAACTTTTTTAGAATGTTGAATTAACATTGTTTAATAAATTGTCCCTTTAAAGGTTGGGGACGTAGCCCAGTGGTAGAACACTTACCTAGCATACATGAGGTGCCTTGAGTTGGTCCCCGGAATTTCAAAAGAAAGGAACAATTTCAGTCTTCAAAGTAATTAATAAAGAAATCTGTGTAATCTGGTATTTACTTTATTAAGCCTCTTTGAAGTACTTTCCTGTTGCAATCTTGTGCCCAGTGGTAGGTGGCTGGGACAAAATAATTAAGACCATAGAGTAAAAGTTATTAAAGGTTGAGTTTATGTGGTTTTCCAAGCGTATCTTTGTTAGTAGTGGTGGGAGCTGGTACTGCTCTGGGGAGAACAAATGATGGAATGAGCACAGTCAGCAGCACAATGCAGACAGATTGGTGATGCTAATTCTCCCACTGCAAGGAAATCAGCTAAGGGAATTACTTTGTGGCATATATGTTCACTGTAGATTTGCAACCAAGATGCCATTCAGTTCTATTATCGTTAGACAGGTATTTTTTGGCGCTCAATTTTGATTGCCCTGAGGGACCAGGAGAAGGACTAGGGAACATGAAACCAGACCCCTTTGGGAGGATGACTGATTCATTTGGGCATCTTTATTAAGATTTTATTTAGAGGTAGTTGTGATAACTCACACCTGTGATCCTGGCTACTTGAAAGACTGAGTCAGGAGGATCAAAAGTTAGAGGCCAGCCAGGGCAACTTAGAGAGCCCCTTTCTCTAAATATATAATGGAAAAGGAGATATAACTCAGTGGTAGAGTACTTGCCTAGCTTGTCCAAGGCCTAGGGTTTGGTCCCTAGTACTTCAATTTAAAAGAAACAAAAAACTTGATTCTAGCCCAGTTCTAAAAGAGATTTTACATATATATTTTTTTTGAGACAGGTCTAAGTTGCTTAGGGCCTCACTAAATTGCTGAGGCTGGCTTTCGAGTTTGCCTTCCTCCTGCCTTAGCCTCCGCAACCAATGAGATTACAGGTTTGCACCACCACACCCACCTGGCTAATTCTTTGCAATGGTAGACTTGGTAGACTTTCTACACTGTTTGATAAACAATATAAAGGACTAAGAGCTGGACATGGTGGCACACACCTATAATCCCAGACACTGGGGATACTAATGCAATAAGATTACAAATTTGCAGCCAGCCTGGACAATTTAATGAGACTCTGTCTCAAAGTTTAAAAAGTGCTGGGGATGTACTCAGTGGCAGAGTGCTTGCCAAGCATTTGTGAGGTCCCCAATACTGTAAAACAAATCCTACAAACCAACAAAAAGGACTGAAAAGTTTTAGTCCTAAGAGACTGGGAATGGTAACTGAAATAAGTCACAGCATAAATTCTTTCCCTGATCACCTCTTAAGAACTGTTGCATTCTGAGAGGTGAGGCTTATGGCTTATGGCCAGGAGAGAGCTGGCAGGCTGCAGAACCACTAGCTTAAATATAGTGGCCATCTTCCATGTCCAATTAAGAATACTGCCTCTTCTGGATACATTTGTTAGCATTAAGTTGATGTGAGCAGGCTGACTAAATTCATTTATCCCCTCCACAAATGAATGAAATACTGAACTCTAGAATGGATATTAGTATTTCTTTGCTAAGAAGACTCTTAGTAGCTTCTTGGTAGCTGAGGCAGGAAGATTGCAAGTTCAAGGCCAGACTAGGTAACTTAGACCCTATCTCCAAAATTTTGGTGGCGGGGGAGGGGTGTTATACATGAACACAGAACCTTTATTTTATTTATTTATCTTTATGTGGTGCTGATGATCGAACCCAGGGCCTCACATGTGCTAGGTAAACACGCTGAGCTACAACCCCAGCCCTCAAATTTTTTTTTTAAGGGCTGGGGATGTAGCCCAGTAGAGTACCCCTAGGTTAAATCCCTGGTATGGAAAGTGGAGGGGAGAATAAAGGAGGGAGGGATAAAGAAGGCATACCAAATTAATGAGATGGTTCTACTGTCCAGGGGTGTATTGGCTATCTACTCTGAGTAACCAATTACTCCAAAATTCAGTAGCTTAAAACAATAAATACTTATTATCTCATTGTTTTGGTGGGTTAGGAATCTTCTGCTGGATGCCTCTTGATTCATGATCATGAGGGTCTCTCGTGATCAAGGTATTACTAGTCATCTAAATCCAATCATCCCTGTATTTGATTTAGGGTGAATTTGATTCCACTCACATGGTTGTTGGCAGAGACATTATTTCTTTTCACAAGGGCTTTTGCAGACTTCTCAAAACATGGAAACCAGAGTCTTTTTATAATATTAGGTTCCATGATTTTTGCCATATCCGAGTGAGTCACTAAGTCTAGGCTGTACCCAAAGAGAAGAGAATGCACGAGAGGATTAGTACTAGGAGGTAAGGTTTGGAGAGCCAGTTAGAGACTGCTCACCTCAAGTGCCCCCTGGTTCTAGTGAGAGATTTCTACCAAAATCTATACCAGGAGGTACTGGGATTACCTTGGACCTCTGTCAGCCTGATGGGCTTCCCTCCTTCAAATGCTGCTGGAAGGTGGGCACTGCCAGTTAGTGGTTTTTATGTTTTCCTTTGTTTGGTCTAAGATGAGTTTCTATATTGGAACTATGGCTGAGGTCTGTGAAGCTGTTTCCTAAAATTACATTTGTGTTTTGAGCATTTTATATAAAGAGAGTGAGGCTACAGTGAAACAAAAAGTTTAAAAGCCACTAGTCTAAGTTAATGTTGGACTTTCTGTTTAGTCTTGGTTCAAAGAAGATACCAACCAGAGAATGGATAGATTATAATCCAATAATCAGTTAGCTATTCTCCCGTTAAAGGGAATTAAGATTATTCCCAGTTCACTTTGGATGGTATTTTGGACATTGCCATGCTCTTAAATCACAGAGCACATTCATACAAAAAAGTTTACTTCCATAGATGGGAGGAAATCACGCCAAATATGCTTTTTAGGAAGGAAAATAGTACTGTTAGGTAATTAGCCAGCCATGAATGGGTGAGCCCGGAAAGAACAATGAAGGGCAACTGAAAACCACAGGGAGGCTTATCTGAAAGATAAATATCTGGAAGATGGAATTTGGTATGTGAAAACCTCTACCAGCCATAATTACATACACTAAAGAAAAATTAAGATCATGTCACACCCTACTAGGTGAGATGGCCTGGAACTCTCCCTTATCACCAAAATTATATCACAGCCCTCAATTACCCCAAACATGACCATCACAAAGAAAGCTTGCTAAAAACTATTCAAAGGGTAGTAAATTGATAAAGGGGCAGGAAATTGAAGCAAAAACAGGGGAACTCAATTACCTTATCATCCTCTGTTCAATGTGGTCTATGCAGTTCCTATACTGTTAGTCAGAAGTCAAGAGGTAGACCTAGGTAGGACTCTGGAAATGTCCTTGGGATCCCCAATAAAACTTGAGGGCAAGAGGGGCATGCTATCCTTCTCTTTGTGAGGATCCATTCTCTCCCATGAGAGTGTCCCTTTTCCCTTTTCCTATCCCTTCAGTAAACTCATGCCTGCTACTCTAAGTAACATGTCTGAAATCTTTATGGTATGATCACAAGAGCTGGTGAAGAGGGGGCTTCTGCAGCTGCCTCAGCTTTGCAGCAGGCCTCTGTCTTGTAACAATACTAAGTCCAATGTTCTTGTGAAAAATGAAATGCTAACCAAATGTGGCTTTCTGGAACTGAGTTTATGATAGAAACAAACTGGCACATCAGAAGGTGAAGTGCTACCAGAAAGGAACTGAAAATGTAATGACAAGGAAGAATCCAAAAGTCAAAATAAAAAAAACATATAGGTCTTGACTTACCTCTAGCTACTTTTTATAGGGACGGGTAATAGTGTCCATGAACGTAGTTCTGGATTATAGCAGGATATCACTGCAGACCAACTGAAGTTCATGTTGATCCTGAATTATGAAGGTCGAAAGATGGAGGTCAGAGTTCAGAAAAATGAGTCATTTCAGCTTCCTTAAATCTGAAAGTCAGTAAGGCACTTTAGAAACATTGCCATTCAAAGTGCCTAAGATGTATACAGAGCATCAAATATAAAAGGAACATCCGTCACTTTTTTTGAAAACTTATTTTCTTGGAACATGTCATACCCCAGAAATATGAGCCATTAAACATGTATCTTTTATGYCCACGATTCCTTGGTCACTGACCACTTATACTTTCTTCTTTTTGGATTAGAAAACTTCCCCAGGTTATCTGTTCAGTGAACCTAAGAGTGCCCTGGTATGCACTAGAACAGTTTTTCCTTAGATAGTATTGTAATTGGATTATTTCTTAAAGCTTCCCTTCTGCTGCTTTTCTCTGCAAGTGTGTTTTTAAAGGGTGTTGTCAATTCAGTAATGAGGAAGTTATTGAAGACTATTTGAGGCTAAGTAGCTAAGGAATGAATGTATTGAATGTGAGCCCTTCCCCACAGGGATTGTTCGAATCCTCTATGGAGAAGGCTCCTGTGTCTGTGGCCTGCGGAGGTGAGAGCCCCCTGGATGGAATCTGCCTCAGCGAATCAGATAAGACAGCTGTGCTCACCTTGATAAGAGAAGAGGTAAAGGCATTTTTTTTCTGTCTGCTTATCACACTATTTCTCTGTAAAGCCCATGTGCCAACCAGTAGATTCCATCTTTGTTGGCTCAAGTTGCCCCAGGCTGTAAGTTCTTATTTCCTACAGCTTGTGTAACTCAATATAAAGGGCTCCCTGTAAAACTCAGTATTGATGCTGAAGTCCTGACATGTTGGTGTCCACAGGAAAAGCCAGCGCCCTGAAACACATTCTTAAGAATTTGGTAGGCTTCTTTAACTTTTAGCCTTGAAGCATTAAGTGTCTAATTTTGCCATCTCTGTTCTGATCCATTTTTAAGAGGCTTATGCCTAAGAATGCCTTAAATTCTAGGCATGTAGCTATGAAAAATTGTTTCCTAATTCCATCCATTCTTTAAACAGTTTAGCTCTCAAATTCCAGTATTGTGTTTTTAAACAGTCTCTATTCAAAAGACATTACCACAGGCCTTTTCCAGGTGAACTGAAAACTATGGAAGACACTGTTATGCCTTATTACTCAGTTACCATCCTCTCCTGTCATATTTCTGTGCTGTATTTTATGTGTTTGGTTTATGTTTTCCTTGAAGATTCCACTTTTTCTTTTTTTAAAGAAAGTAATTCTGTTGCCATAACAATTTTATTTTTACACTATGATGAAAGTAATTAAGTACCTTTGCTCTAGGTCTTTCAACATTATATAAGTAACTTTAGACTGGTAACAAGGGCTGTCAGCCAGTCCTGTTGTCAAAACTTGGGAGCAGTGGTAAGGAAGTCTACCACTGCCACCCTGCTCATTTTCTTATAAATGAGAAAAATGACTTCGTCTTCCTCTTGAGAGTTAAACTCTGAGATAAATGACCACCTATTGAACCAAAGCAAAGACATGTCTTGTTGCCTGAAGAACACAGGATGGATTCTAGGTTCTTGGAGACACCAAAATAAAGAATATACCCATCAGGAATCAGGAAACACAGCCAAGGAAGGGTAGTGAAAGGACAGTGGCAAACCCATTGGAGTTGAGGTAGTAAGTTGAAAGTGTTTCCAGATAGTAAGCATCCCAAATATGGATGTGGGTTTTTGGCCTGACTGGCAAGATCCTTCCAATGGTGATGGATCCTAAAGAGGGATGTATCCAGCCTGGGGCATTCCCCTTCTGCACCCCTTGTTCTGACTCCATTCTTACCAGTCAGAAATCTCTGTAGAAAAGATTGTACTGGTCACACCAATTTATAGTACTCTGATTTTGTGGCAGTTTCATTTCTCAAAGAAAATTGGTGGTCTGACATCTACTGCAATTATGTAACTTTGGCTAAGGTGAATCTCTGTCAGTCAGACGCTCTGCTCTTGGTGTCCTGTCCCAACTGTGTCCTTACAGAGTTGACAGCCAGACCATGGACTGAGGTAAAATTTATGGAACTTGTAAAATCCTCTAAAGTTCCTGGGAGATCTGCTTAACCTTATCCTAGTGGCTACATTTCATCATTCTACAGCTCAGAGTACATGTTTCCAAATGTTTATGAACATTATATACAAATGTCAAGGTTTTATATTCCTAATGTCAACTGAATGCCTCAGGTTATACTTGGTCATGTGTTGTTTTCAGTTTCCAATCTTAAATTGAAACTTTAACAGATTGATAAGGTAAAAACCAAGCTTTATTATCATTTAGATAATCACTAAAGAGATTGAAGCCAGTGAATGGAAGAAGAAATATGAAGAGACCCGACAAGAAGTTTTGGAGATGAGGTTAGACTGGAAGCTGGGGGGAGGGGTCAGGTGTCTTGAATATTATTAAATCTACAAGTGTTTGCTCACCACAGAACCAGCTGTTGGGAACTTGAGGGCTTTGATCTGAGATTACCTCACTTTGCAATTGAGAGTGTCATTTCATGAGTTATGTATTCAAGTATCATAACTCATCTTGAGTCGTTCAGAACATTACATGTAAGCAAAGTTCACACCGTTATTGTCTTTTTTAAAGAATGGACAAAATTGGGCTGGGGATGTGGCTCAAGCGGTAGCGCACTCACCTGGCATGCGTGCCCAGGTTCGATCCTCAGCACCACATACAAACAAAGATGTTGTGTCCGCCAAATACTAAAAAATAAATATTAAAAAAAGAATGGACAAATTTGTACAAGAATATCCATTTGGAATACAGAATAATAAGATTTACTGATAAGATCAATGATGGAGGCATTGAAATTCAATGGGGGATTGAACCTAGAAGTGCTCAACTATAGAGCTACATCCCAAACCCTTTTTATTATTTTGAAACAGGGCCTCACTAAGTTGCCCTGACTAATCTTGATCTTATGATCATCTTGCCTCAGTCCCCCAAATAGCTATAATTACAAGCATGTGCCATTGGGCCTGCAAAATCCATAATAATTTAAAATAGTCATACATAGTAGCTTCAAGTTACATAATCATCACATGGATTATAAGTAGGCATGTTAATAGAAAACAAAATTGACATTAAATTGAAATCTTTTAATTTATCCTCTTTATTCTCTAAGAGAATTATGTACCATTAAGTGACTAAGGATGGCATCAAAGAAGAGAAGGAAAAAACATACATAGTTAATGCTTGTACAGTCTGCATTTGAGTGATTAAGAAACATTTTAGCTGGATAAAATGGCACGTGCCTGTAGTTCCAGCTACTTGGGAAGCCGAGACAAAAGGGAGACTCTGTTACGTAAATTGGTATATGTAAATCAGTATATATCAATGAGTTTAATTGTTTGAGGGCAGCATTTCTCTAAATTCCATTGTATGAAAATTCTCTTCTGAATATTCTTTTTTCTATTTAGGAAAATTGTGGCTGAATATGAAAAGACCATTGCCCAAATGATTGGTAAGGAGTTTTTTTTTCCCTAGGGCATGAGCCATAGAATCTGAGTCAGTTCATGCTGCCTTAACAAGGTACCATAAACTAGGTTACTTATAAACAACTGGCATTTATTTATTACAGTTCTGAAGGGTGAGGAGACCACGATCAAGGTTCTGTCAGTTCCGGTGTCTGACATGGGCCTGTTCCTTGTAGTCATGGCCTTCTTACTTTGTCCTCACCTGGTGGCTGAAGGGGATAGCTAGCTAGCTCTTTGTGGTCTGTCTTTTCACACACATAATAATTGTCCACATCTGTGGGGTGCACTGTGATAATTTGATCCATGAATGCAGTGTGCAGTGATCTAATCAGGATAATTCACATATCCATCTCAATTATGTTTCATTTCTTTGTACTGAGAACCTTTGAACTCCTTTATTCTGGTTCTTTAAAAAAATAAATAATAAATTGCTATAAATTATAGTCACCCTACTATACTATAGAACATTAGACCTTATTCCTCGTATCTAACTATAATTTGGGACCTGTTATCCAACATCCTTCTTTCCCTCCCTCCCCTTCCCATCCTCTAGAGACCAACATTATATTTTTTACTTCTGTGAAATCAACTTATTAGCTTCCACATATAACTGTGAACATGCAGTACTTTCCTTTTTTGTGCCTAGCTTAATTCACTTAACATAATGATCTTGGTTCTGGGGTCTCTTCTAGAAGGATATTGTCCTGTCTCTGCCTCATAACTTAATTACCTCCACAACCCCCCCCCCCAATCACATTGGGGTTAGGTTTCAGCCATATGAATAGGGGAACAAGGAGCGTAAACATTCAGACCATAGCAGGAGATCTTAATATGAACTTCAGTTTGTTCATCATCTATCTCATTTCCATGGTAGGCATATTCTACAAAGTTGCTTCAAATGCTGAACTGGTGGATACTGAAGCACACTCCTAAGAGGAAAAGCAGGACTGAGTTCCTGTGAGCCTATGGTCACAACATTTATATCAACTGATCAATATGTAACCTTGTCTTATATGTGTTTCCACTTAAACACAACTTACTTAATATATATTATTGATTTTTTTAACATTGAATTCATGTTCAACAGGGTGTCAATTCACATCTGAACAAAACTTACCTGGCACATGTATTTTTTTTGTATTTATATGACAGCAGAATGCATTAAAATTCTTATTACACATATAGAGCACAATTTTTCATATCTTTGGTTGTATACAAAGTATATTTACACTAGTTTATGTCTTCATACCTGTACTTTGGATAATAACGATCATCACATTCCACCATCATTAATAACCTCATGCCCCCTCCATTCCCCTCCAACCCCTCTGCCCTATCTAGAATTCGTCTATTCCTCCCATGCTCCCTCTCCCTATCTCACTATGAATCAGCCTCCTTATATCAAAGAAAACATTCAGCATTTGTTTTTTGGGGGATTGGCTAACTTCACTGAGCATTATCTTCTCTAACTCCATCCATTTACCTGCAAATGCCATGATTTTATTCTCTTTTTTTTTTTTAATTGATTGTTCCAAACATTACAGAGCTCTTGATAAATCATCTTTGATTTTATTCTCTTTTATTGCTGAGTAATATTCCATTGTGTATATATGCCACATTTTTTTTATCCACTCATCTATTGAAGGGCATCTAGATTGATTCCACAGTTTAACTATTGTGGATTCTGCTGCTATAAACATTGATGTGGCTGTGTCCCTGTAGAATGCTGTTTTTAAGTCCTTTGGGTATAGACCGAGGAGAGGGATAGCTGGGTCAAATGGTGCTTCCATTCCCAGTTTTTCAAGAAATCTCCATATTGCTTTTCATATTAGCTGTACCAATTTGCAGTCCTACCAGCAGTGTATGAGTGTACCTTTTTCCCCCTCATCCTCACTAACACTTATTGTTGTTTGTATGCATAATAGCTGCCATTCTGACTGGAGTGAGATGAAATCGTATAGTGGTTATGATTTGCATTTCTCTAATTGCTAGTGATGATGAACATTTTTTCATATATTTGTTGATTGATTGTATATCATCTTGTGAGAAGTGTCTGTTCAGGTCTTTGGCCCATTTATTGATTAGGTTATTTTTTTTTGGTGCTTTTTGAGTTCTTTATATACCCTAGAAATTAGTGCTCAATCTGATGTGTGAGGGGTATAGATTTACTCCCAAGATATTCTCTATTCACCTCACAGATTGTTTCTTTTGCTGAGAAGAAAACAGAGACCCTGCGTCTAATAGAAGAAAAAGTAGGCCCTAATCTCCATCATGTGGGATTAGTCCATAACTTCCTTAATAAGAGTCCTGTGGCAGAAGAATTAAAATCAAGAATCAATAAACGGGCTGGCACATGTATTTTAAGGCACTTCACAGCCTTCTTGTGCTTTGTAACACTAGATGGCACTTCAGTACCACCCTTGGGGGCCATTTTAAACAGCAAGGTCACCAAAATAAAGCACAAAAATGCAAAATGTGACACTAAGTAGACTACTTGAAAAGGATAGTTGTTTATAGTATGAAATAAGGTAAAGCATCCCTGTCTGCCCTCAGATGAGAACACAAGCAACAGATGAATAAAAATTTTACTCACATGCCTTGAGTATGGATTCTAGGATTGCAAATAAATTTAAGTTAGTACACAAATTGCAAATACAGACTGCAGATAATGAGGATTGGCTGTACTTGGGTTCATTTTTTTGAATTCTATGAAAGCCCTCTATGCCATACCCAGAATGTTGATGGCCCACATACTAATACCTACTGGGCGGAGTCCTCGGTTTTGATGCAGTATCCTTCTGATTTTTCCTGTCAGACCCAGTAGTGCCTTAACAAAACAATGGTGATTAATCCTCCATGTTGAATTTAGAGCCTCTTCTAGTGAACTTTGTAAAGATTGATTCCCTAAATCAAATCAAGACAGATCTTTAAGCATTTAAATACTGAAATGATTTTTTTTTTTTTTTTTTGTCCATGTCACCTATTGCCTTCCCAGCTCAGCCTTGGCCAGGGCTATCTTCTCTGTGTGTAATATTCTCCCCCATAGCTGCATGGCTCCCACCCTGTTCTTTGGGTCTGTATTTAAATTTTTTCTCTGAAGAGGCAGCTCTATAAAACAGCAGCCCACTCACCTGTTCCTCATTCCTCTCATCCTTTTTTTTTTTTTTTTACCCCATCACTCTCACCATATGTCGCTCCCCATTAAAATATAAGTCCTTGGGAGTGGGAATTTTTTTATACCCATGGCTGTGTTCCTTCCCACTGAGAACACTGCCTGGCTCAGGGAGAGCAGCTGTTCACCATTGTGTGAATAAACATGCCATTATTTTTGACTTATAATTCCCAGAAGATGAACAAAGGACAAACATGACCTCTCAGAAGAGCTTCCAGCAACTTACCATGGAGAAGGAGCAGGCCCTGGCTGACCTCAACTCTGTGGAGCGATCCCTTTCTGATCTCTTCAGGAGATACGAGAACCTGAAAGGCGTACTGGAAGGGTTCAAGAAGGTAATGAGTGTGTCCTTTTCTGTCTCTCTCCTGGCTAGTACTGGATCATCACACACATAATACAAGGGGTAAAAAGCCTTTTAAAAGGGGCTCCGCCCTCCGCCTTGTATCTTCTATTCCAGTAAAACCATGTTTTTTCTACTTTTTCATTTCTATAATCAGGCAGCTGGCCTACAGGGTGGTATCTCTTGATTATTTTTACTGGATCAAGCCAGTGAAGCCTAGATACAGCCAGAGTGTGGCATAGAGTACAAGAATTGGAACCCTCAGATCTCAGGATACATCTAGAAACGTTCTTTTTAATTATTCACCTTTTCAATGTTAGTAAGTGTAGAAGGGATTCCATATCATTGAAAAAAATCTTAAGTGGCATATTTTAGAAAACATTAAATGTAATAATTTGGTTGAATAGTATTAATAAGACACATTAAAGCAGTGAAATTCTTTTGTTTTCTTTTTTTAATGCTGCTGAGGTGGAACCTAGAATCTCATACATGCTAGGCAAGAGCTGTACTGCTGAGCCCCACCTTCAGCCTTTGAAATTCTTTATTTTCTTATTAAATTAAAAGTGAAACTAGCCAATATGTCTAATGTAGAAATCAAATCACTATTCAGTTTTGAATAAGTACCTCCCTAAAGGAGGTATATTGGTATAACTGAACCTTACTGTATGATGTTGAAAATTAATACATAAAGAAATTATGCTATAAAAATATCTAGAATTTTAAAGTAAGATTTGTATGTGCCTATTTCAGATTACCATACATATTATTATTATTTTTTTTATATTTATTTGCCTTTCTTTTATCCTTTTTGGTAAATTGTCTATTCAAGTCTTTTTTTTTTTTTTTTTTTTAGAGAGAGAGAGAGAGAGAATTTTTAATATTTATTTTTTAGTTCTTGGCGGACACAACATCTTTGTTGGTATGTGGTGCTGAGGATCGAACCCGGGCCGCACGCATGTCAGGCGAGCGCGCTACCGCTTGAGCCACATCCCCAGCCCTACCATACATATTAAAGTCATCTGAGTTAATTAGGTTTTTCCATTTTTTTACATACGACTCTGATATATGTTATATTACCAGTAGAAGAAAAATGAAATGACCTGTTTATTTTTAATTTTCACTATGGAACAGAATGAAGAAGCCTTGAAAAAATGTGCTCAGGATTACTTAGCCAGAGTTAAACAAGAGGAACAACGGTATCAGGCCCTGAAAATCCATGCAGAAGAAAAACTAGACAAGTAAGAGCTTATAAATTTGAATTTTACTTTTCATAATGTTATGAGGATATTGACAGAGGCAGAAACTTCATTTTATCTAAAAAGTAATATATACTTGTACATTTTGCTAAATGTATTCCTAAGTGTAAGAAAACAAGTTCACTGTTTTGCAACCTCAGGGGGTGTGTGTGTATATCTGTGTGTGTGAGAGACAGATTTCAATTTTTGAACCATCTTCTTTACATGGTTAAAACATTAAGAAACATAAAAAGGTATACAGTATCACCCTCCCATTCCTGCCCCCCTTACACTAGGTTCCTACCTCTTTTCCCCTCAAATAATCAGTAGAGTTTCTGTTTCTCATTCTAGATATGCTTTTTTCCCTCCTTTTTTAGATGATAGCATACTTCCTTTTTTTGTGTAGCAATACAGTTTTGAAAATCTTTGACTGTCTAGTCTGTTCATGAGGAGCTTCCACATGGTATTCAACTATTGGAATGTATCATTTACATTCTCTCCTGTTGGACATCGAGGTTAATTAGAATCTTTTGCTGCAACAACAAACAGTGCTGTAGTAGGTAACCCTGTAGATTATCCTTTTACATGCATTTAAGTTATCTTTATGATATATGTAATAGAAAAGGAATTATTGAACCAAAAAATAATGAATGTATAATTATAGTAGTTATTTTCAAATGACCTCATAAAATTTATACCCATTTATACCCCTTTACAATTCTTAGGAGCATTTGTTTTCCCTACAGCTCTGTTAGTAGATCAAATTATTGATTTTATGCAAATCTAATAGATGAAATGGTATTTCATTGTAGGTTTTTGTGGTTTTGGGCAAGTAAGCAACATAACTTTTATTTTATTATATGTAGTTTTGATTTGCATTTGTCTTAGCAAAGAAACTAAATATATTTTAGCACTTACCTATTCAAATATTTACTGTGTATGACTATTCTTTGCCTATTTTTCCATTGTCAGTTTATATGTTTTATACATTAGGGACACCAGCCCTTTGTAATGTGAATTGTGAATAATTTTTCAAGGTTGTCATGTATTTTTTGGCCCTGTTTATGGTGTTTCTGATATGCAGAATGTTTCATTTTTAGTACTGGGTATTGAACACAGGGCCTCATGTAGGCCAGACAAGCAAGACGCTGTTTCAAAATAAATTTTTTTTAAAAAAGATTCCCTTTTTATTTTATTAATAAGGTTGCTTCCTTGAGGTTTGTGTCTCATAAACATTAATGGCTAGTATTCTAAATTGTTTAGCTGTGATGATCTCTGGAGTGACCTGTCCACTTTTATATTGGGTTTTTAAAAAATTAAAATTATTGTAGAAACTGTTACATAATTTTTTTCTCATGAAATACAAATTTTAAAGAATGCCATAGCCTTCAAAAATGATTCTACCATTGGCGTGTCTCATGGGAATTTCCCTAGCATTTGTATATAAAATGAATTTTTATTAATTAAAATTAAATTATATAGGTCTCTGATTCTTGTCTTTTTGCTGATCATGCAATCTGTTCTTTTGAGTCTGTCTGCTGGAGGTCAATGGTTATTCTCCTGACTCTTTAGCTGTGCCCTGGCTAACATGTGCTTTCTTTCTCTTTATTCCACAAACAAAACTCCACAAACAGAGCCAATGAAGAGATTGCTCAGGTTCGCACAAAGGCAAAGGCTGAAAGCGCAGCTCTGCACGCTGGACTCCGGAAAGAGCAGATGAAGGTGGAATCCCTGGAAAGAGCCCTGCAGCAGAAGGTATGACAAGGGGTTGGGTCAAGACGACCATGCAGGTTCCTGGTCCTCCTCCTCTACAGTGGCTCACATTGGTCCTTGGTGTGCTTTGTGCACCATGATCCTGGGTGAAAGTGACCTTGCCTTTGTACTCAGATACTTCAACCCAGATCCTTTGTGAACTAATTCTTGGGGAGACAGACAAGTCACACCATTAAAACTTCCAGTTATATTATATGCAAATCATCCACAGGCAGGGTGCAGAAAGGAATTTGGAATTTGCATTTTAACTGAAGTTCAGTGATCAAACACTTTTAGTAGGGGTCACGAGGCTTACCTTTCATTCATTCTGTTTTCTTTTTATGCAATACATGAAGCCATCTTCCCCTTCACTTGCTTTAGATCATTGGTTCTCAATTAGGGGTAATTTTGCCCTCCAGGGGACATTAGGCAATGTCTGGAGATTAATTGGCTGTCATGACTGGGAGATGCTACTAGCATCTAGTGAGTAGAAGCCCAAAATGTTGTCAGATATCCTACAGTGCACATCCACCCCCCATCCATAGATTTACCCAGGCCAAAACACAAGTCCTGCTGATGCAGAGAAACCCTTTTGTAAATAAATGGAAACCAGTAGCAGCAATCCTTATATCGCACTTCCTAGCAATTTTTCTTTTTTGTCTCCAGCATTTTACTTACTACATCTCCACTTATGCACTTGTACCTATGCAGTCCATTTAGCTAGAACATGGGGTCTGAGGGCCCCTCATGTTCCCTGGGATACTCTGATGCCAGAATCCCAACTCCTAGAGAAGCTGATGGATTGAGTGAGACTCAGATGTTTGTGTTGCTGAAAAGTACCTCACACAGTTCCTATGAAAACAAGAAATTTGGGAACTGAGTTGTTTACAAACAGGCTTCAGAGGACTGGTGACTACCCACCTCACCCTCTACTCAGTTAAGCCCAATACTATGAGTACATGCACATTTACGGGGGAGAAGGATTAGCATTTTCCTTTCTTCACAAGATCTCTAATATAGAAAAGTAAAGAATCACTGAATTAGGTTGTCTAGGTAGGATCTAGCCAGTCCTGGGACTATCTAGCTATAATTCCCTTTATCTTAGAACACAAAGTGGCCTGCTTATAATCATATCATCTGTCTTTTAGAACCAAGAAATTGAAGAACTGACAAAAATCTGTGACGAGCTGATTGCAAAGCTGGGAAAGACTGACTGAGATTCCTCTCTTCACGTAGCAGATCTGCACTCCAATGCTTCTGTCATGACCACAAGTATCTTGCCTTATCTAGGAATAATCGTACTTTTGCAGAGAAAAAAAAATTAAAAAAAAAAAAAAAGCACAGACCCACCGCTGCCTGTCCCGCTTAGTTGCCAGTACAGCAGCCCTGGAAGGAGCCCTGGAGGTTAGCCCAGTCAGGAAGGAGTGTGATCTGCCAGTGCTGGAGTCCTTTTCTGCTCCCCAGCATCAGATTCAGTTAGGGAGGCTGCAGAGCCTGGATTTGTGATTTCTCTGTCTTAGTTGGTCTTAAAGTCATCTTTCCTTCTCCCAAGTTTGTAATTTGTGATTTTGTGGCTACCATTTGGGGTTATCTCCTCTACCACCTGTCTGATATTTTTATGACCTTATAATCTTTTAATTTTCAGTATCACTGGTTTTATTGAAGGAGATGATCTGGCCTTTTGTTATTTCCCGTTTATAAACAAGAAGGGGCTTTGAGTATCTTTGTTATATACATTATCCCTCACACATCTCTATCTATACATGCTGCTGCTTTTTCCCTACAGCACATAGAAGAACATATATCTATAAATGTAAAACCCTGTTTTGAAACAGCCCTGTTTCCAAATGCTAACTTCCAAATTTGGGTATCAAGTACAGTGACACATGCCTGTACTACAGCTACTCAGGAGGCTGAGACTAGAGGGTCAGTTGAGCCCAGAAGCACTGTCTTCTCCTGACCCCCCCCCCTGAAAAAAGAAAAGGAAAGAAAGAAACTGGGGGGCATCCAAGATGTGAAGGCCATAGACATGAGTTTCACATCTAGGGAAGACTTTCTGCCACGCTGTTTCATTGCCTTGGTATTTAGACACCCCCGCATATTGATGAGGACAGCCCTTTGGCACTGAGTCCTCCTACTGAAAGTGGTGTCTGCTTTCTGCATGAACATCGGTGCAGAAACCCCTCAAAGCTGGGGTTTGTGAAATCTGCCCTGGAGTCATTTAGCCTTCTGCTTCCTTTTGTTGATGCAAAACCAACATCTCACCTTTGTTATCTCTGAAATATGCAAAGAAAAATCTATTTGTGAAAGCTTAGATGGTCTTATTTAAAAAGTAACTATAGCCCTGTTACTAATTACAAGGCAAAGGAAGAGTAATCTCTTTGTCTTTACAAGTGTGGTACATTGTTCTTTGGATATTTAAAAAAGAAAAAATCCTTTCATACTTAAGATAGAGTTTTTAACAAAACAGGCAGTAAAAATAATATGTGACCCATTCCAAAGATTAGCACATATGTTTGAACAAAACAGTCTGAACACTAGGGAAGGAGGTGCAGGGAGAAGGTCCATACAGACAAAACCAAGTTCCTCCAGCTATTGCTGGACACAGTTCAGAGTAGTGGGACTTTAACCCCAAAATGGAAATTTCCCACGAATCCCCTTTCACTTTGATAGGCAAAACCCATGCAAGTGTTATAAAGCACTCTTTTGTCTTAATCTTACACCCTGATATGCACTATGTTCAGTACATGTCCATTTTCCTACTTCTCTTGTAAAACTGTTGCATGAGCCAGCTTCAACAATGAATTGTGCCTCGTGGAGAACCTCTATAGATCTTTAAAAAAAAAAGAAAGTGTTACTTTAGCAGTGTATTGCTCATGTGGGTGCAATCTTTAGCCCCAGGGAAGTTGATAATGTCTTTTAAAACCAGAGTCATGTTTTACCAATATGCATTTATCATAATTGGTGCTTAGGCTATATTTCAAAGCCTATTGTCTTAACATTTTGTACAAAAAACAAAACAAAACAAAACAAATTATTTGTGGTTGGAGAAATGGCTTGACAATCATTTGGGCTTTGAAAGTAGTGACTGTGGTTTAATGTGAATGCTGTACCAGGAGTCACAGTATTGGGTACAAATGTCTCCAGTGGTATGACCACTTTTTTCTCTAGTCCTCTACTACGAGGGGAGTTGATTTTGCATTTTGCAGAAAGAAACAGTGCAAACCCTTTACTGCTGTGTTTTGCTGACATTCATGTTTATTTGTTTTAAATTGATCTGTTTTAAGTATGAAACGCTTATAGTAGTCTCCATTATAAATCCATAGTCATTTTTTTTCTTTTTAAAATATTTTTGCAGTGCTGGGGATTGAACCCAGAGCCTCAGATATCCTAGGCAAGTGCCCTACTGCCAAGCTACATTCCCAGCCCTATAATCATCTGTTTAAGCTATTATGTATTTTAAAAGCACACTCTGTTGTGTTAAAACAGAGGTAACGACATTCCTTCCCTAGCACACTAGTAGAAAAAAATTCTTGAAAACTGGACCCCAGTGAATGAAGGTGCTGTATGAAAGAGCCCTTCCTAAATAATATTTGTCACTGACCTCAGTCGTGACCATTACAAGGAAATGGCTGCCATTCTATAATAGATGGATACTCTCAAACAAGACTCAAAATGTATCATTACAACTGGCAGATGAAGAGAATATACTAGACAGAGTGAAGTATATTTATTTTTCTTTAAACATAAGCCAAAATTTTTTTTTAAAAAAGCGTCTAGAACTCTGAAGAGTAAGAATATACTCTAGAATTTGCTTTGGCATGTGTGAGGACCAAATTACTTGTTAGACAGTCAATTTTAAAAACCGGGTTATGAAAGCRAAAGGGGGAAATGGAAGTTAGCTTCTGGCTTAGGTTTGGGAATATTAAGTGATCTTGCTGAGAATGAATCCAGAGCCATTTCTTCAGTTTCTGACTTTGCCAAAGTGTAGATAACTTTTATCTAGCAGTATTTTGAAAGAAAATGGACTGAACGGTTTACTGTGTAGTCTAGATAGTTGGTCACATCAGACCTCCCAGGATTTACTCTAATTAGGTGAGCTACTTGAAGCCGGTGATTTCCCTAAACCTTTTTTGTTCTGTAAAACTGCTCTGGAAATCTTGAAAGGCCCCGTGTTCTCACATGGTTTCTAGCTTCTTCATATGCAGCCCAAATTAGGAAGTGCAGAAGCATATGACAGTGAAAAACAGGATTCAGCAGACTTCCAGAAGTTATGGGATCTGAGGGGAGATTCGCCTGTAGTTCTGGAGAATAGCTCAAGTTAAATCTTCTTTCCAGCCAATGGCTCTTCCTACTTATCCACACTTGGTACAACCCCCCGGCACATACTTAGATATCTTTTAAATAGCCCTGAATTAGTTCTAATTATAAATAGGGAGAATAAACTGCCCCAAATGTTCTTAAACTGACTGAGCAGCCAAGTTAAAGCACTCACCCTCAGAAAAGGTAAAAGGAAATATGGCAGCTCTGTGCCTCATGAAGGGGTTGGGGGATTTTTGTTTGTGTGTGTGTTTGCTTGCTTCAGGGTTTTTTTTGTTTTGTTTTGTTTTTGTTTTTTTTAAGAATAAGCATTGGTACACTGGGTTGGAAGTGACTCAGCATATCCTTTTTTATTGTAGTAAGCATTCTGAAGCACCCCCTTTTTACTTCCTTTTGGTTTTTCATTACAGTTGGTAGCCATCTCATTAACTGTTTATGACTGTTGTCTCCTTGTGGTTGTATAACTGTGTGAGCTTGCTCACAGACTTTTTTATCCTGTTTTTAGGAAGAGAGAAACCAGGTCTTGAAAGATTAAAATGACTCAAGCAAGGGATTTTAAAATAAAGCTGTATATATTCTGAAGAATTTTAAAAGCTAACAAATTATTATTTGCTTATTGAAGAACAAATATAGTCTGGGAATCCCAGAATGTCAAGCCAAAGCTTAGTCTAAAAAGTCATCTTCTTTCAAAGATTTTAATAAAGAATTTTTTTGAGGAGACCTCTGTCCAAAATGGTTTGACTGGCCTCTAGATTCCAGTTATTTTTTTTTTTTTAATAATGTACGGGCTGGGGATGAGCTCAGTGGTAGAGTGCTTGCCTACTAACTCTAGTGGTAGAGTTCCAGCCCCAGCCCTGAGGGCAGGGGTGGAGGAGAACAAACTGCCTCTCAATCCTTGAGTCTCCTATACAGGAAAAGTGAAAGAGTTGATATAATAGACTCTTTTCTCCAAGGATCTCCTCTAGAAGGTCATATATCCAGCAGCATTCTCCAGTGAAGACCCACTCCCCAGCACCAAACTTGAATCTGGAGACTAAAGATTGCACTTTCATAGTTTTTTGTCCAAATGCAATCCCATTTCTGTGCCTCTTAGCATGCAGTTAGATTTGGACAAACAAGATTCCTAAGGAATGACTTTATTAACTATAATATGGTTACAGCTATTATATAAATATATATAAATATATATATATATTCTGGTTATAGTTCTAATATGGAGATATTGTGTGTGATGCTGGCCTGTGGCAGTCTGTATAATGCTTCAACTTGTACAGAGGAGGCCAGGCTTGAAGCTGAGGTGTGGCCTGAACCTTCCCTGTGTCGACTTTTTACTTTCCAACTGTCAGGATGCCACTTTCTCCCTCCCTCTGCCATTTTTAGTGGTATCTGGAATATACTCCAAAGAGTATTTCCTAGTCACATCATTAATCGATACTCTATATTTATGAATAACTTTCAAATGGACATAAAAAATTTGAACTCTGAAGCCACGCCCAGTACAGATACAGGGCAGTGTGTAGGTTACCACACCCTAAGCCTCAGCCTCAGCCTGGGTCCTTCCCAGCTACTGGGACAGGATCCGGGCTTTTTTTAAACCTCAGAGGTAGCAGTAAACTTTTTAGTATTGCTGTTAGCAAGTGTGTGTTTGCCAATAGATATCCATTGTACTAATGTGCCAACAAGTAAATGTTTATTGCACATCTGCTTCCACTGTGTCCCCATGGGCTCCCCGAAGAGTGTGAGGGGCCCCTCACCTGCAAGGGTGAGTGCTGCATTGACTACTGCTATCAGGATTGTGTTGTGTGGAATAATCATCTGCATAAATTTTATATACATAGTAATTTCCCTTTTATATGTCAGGTAAATATTTGTAAAAGTTATACTCACACAAATGAAATTATTATAATGATTACTAATATATTTTTTCCATGTTTCATTGCCTGAATAAAAACTGTTTATCACTGTTAGATCTGGGTRTGTGTGTGGTGGTGTTGTTTCTAGTTATAATTCATTTTATCCCCAAGTGTGAAAATTTACAGCAGCTTTGCTTATTTTTATGAGTTCCATATTTCAGTCTAAAAATAGGAAAGATGACATTTTTCCCTACACTCACTTTTGAGGTTTTATGCATTTGGCTGAGTGTGTAATTAAAAACAAAACAAACTTTGGGATTCAGACCTTGCCATGTAAATATCCATGACTTTGCATCTGTGCAAACAGTTTTTAGCTGGGTGGGTGTTTCTTGTTTTTGCTTCAAGACTGTCTTACCCTGAGTATTTTTCAAGTCCTAAGAAGCTAAGTCACCTCAAGCTTGCTGACTTGTTGAAGGGCACAGGATGAGCCAGAGCTGTGTCGACATTACGGCCCACAGAAAATAGTTGAAGTTTTTTTGTTTCTTCTAGGTTAATACCAGGAAAAACTTTTTCAATACTAGCCAGGCCAACTCTCCCCTCAAGGGGAGCAGACAGGAAATTTCATGGGTTGTATTACTGGAAAAGATAGAGTCAAAGCTCCATTTGAAGTCTAGGTAAGGATCCCCTAAGGAAACAAGAGCCCTATCACAATCTTACCATTTGACCATCCTAAGACATTGCAGTCAATAAAGTTCCTCAAAGGAATGTTTCACTTCAGTGTGTTCCTGAACTGCAAAGAGAACCCTATAAAAATCACAGGAATAATCTCCTTTTCTGAGAATTATTGGGAAAAATAAGATGGAACTTATCCTCTACTCTTCTAAAAGAGCTTTATTCTTGTATAACTTAAGACCACCAGTGTTTTGGTTTTTTTTTTAGTGGTACTGGGAGTGAACTTGCCTTGCCCATGGCAGGTAAGTGCACTACTAACCTACATCTACCCCGGCCTTTTTATTTTGAGGCAAGTTCTTGTTAAGTTGCTGAGGGTCTCACTGAGTTGCCCAGGTTGATCTCAAACTTAAGCCTCCTGCCTCAGTCTTCTGAGTAGCTGGGATTACAGGTACACACCACCAAGTCCAACACACCAATGTTTTTTTGGCTTTTTTTTTTGTGTGTGTGTGTGGGGGGGGGGTATTTGTTTTTTCCACACAGGATCATCTTAGCAATCAATTTTCTTTTTTTTTCCAGATCTGCTAGAGATGGAAGCCAGGGTCTCAGACATGTTCAGCAAGTGCTCTACACTGAGCTATATCCCCGGTGGCCACATTTTTATGAAACTGTGACAGCAAATACCAGAAGTCATTGCACAAGTTAAGGATAAATATTGGTTTGTGAGATTAACTTCAGATACAAATTTATGGGTAGTAGGTCATGACAAAAAAGTTTCTCATGGGGCTGGGATTGTGGCTCAGCGGTAGAACACTTGTCTAG